ACGTCACATTTACCTCAGAAAAAAAAAAACATATTCGGTGACCAAGAACTCATTAGTCAGCAAGAAAAATAAACTGTAGAGAGGGGCATGTTGCTAAATATATGCACCATATAACATATTCATTATAATTTTTACTGTTCTTCAGTGTTTAATTTATGTTTGAATAAATCCATCAAGTTTTTTGACAGCCACCATTTAAATTTTTATAGCCTATTTAAAAAAAACGAATTGAAGTAAAAATATTATGTAATTGTAAATTTATTATTTTAAAAACTTCATTAAGTGTAATTTTAGCAGTTGTGTAGCCTACAAATCAGTCAGTTTTAACCTTAAATATTATAGTAATGTAGCTAACGTTAGTACCAACTGACTCTCATGTATATTTTACAGCATTAGTTGAGATTTTTTTTCCTTAAGACAATTTGGCATGTAGCCTACTGTAGGCCTACCTGATATATATCCAAAATAATCGATATTGAATCGAATCAAATCGAATATCGAATTGAATCGCAAGCTTGTGAATGAGAATCGAATCGAATCGTGAAATTTGTGTCAAAACCCAGCCCTAGACCCCATACTTTTGATTAATATTGTACATTTACATAAAATACAGTCAGAGTACAGAAGTAGTCACTTTACTATAAAAATACCTAAAAGGCCTTTTTATTTGATTAGTTAGTTTATTTGTTTGTTCATTGACATGATTTGTCTGAACAAAGAAATTTACTGGAATTAATCAAACTGTCTAGTACTTCATATGAGACAGAGCAGGTTTGGATATGAGGCTATGCACAAGTACAGTGTGCCATTAATACAGCTTTTTAGCATTTTGCTAAACCACTAATTGTTGTTACTATAATTAACTTAGTAGTGCCAAAACCTGTAGTTACTCCCCATTACCGATTTATATAAATTATTTCCCATGCTGTGCTCATTCATGTTTTGGTTTAGGTGCGCACCACCATGGCCACGGGCAGGTGGAGGCCGAAGTTTCTGAACAGAAGGTTGTAGAGGGAGTCGTGGTGCAGAGCGGTGAACACGGTCACAGTCACGAGCAGCTCCACGCTTATATCGGCGTCTCTCTTGTGCTGGGCTTCGTCTTCATGCTCTTGGTGGATCAGATCGGCAGTTCTCACATGCACAGCAGTGATGGTCGGTGTGAAGCTGGCATTTTTTGTTTTCTACTTGTTGACAAATTAGAATGGTGTAAAGTGTCTGAATCTGTTCTCGCCACATTTTTAGATCCAGAAGCAGCAAGGACTGCTAGCTCTAAGGTCACCACCACACTTGGATTGGTCGTTCATGCTGCAGGTAAAAAAATAATGGTGTGAATGAAACGTCTTTAGTTGCATTATCCAAACGTTTTCTATGTAATATGTTATGTTACTAACTTCAGATTGTATTTGTCATATTGTTCCTTGAGAAAATTTGGCATGTACTGTACCTGATATGTATCCAAAATAATCGATATTTAATTTGATCGAATTGATTATCGAATCGAATCGAATCGCAAGCTTGTGAACGAGAATCGAATCGAATCGTGAAATTTGTGTCAAAACCCAGCCCTATATGAGACAGTGTATACTAACCATCCTCTCTCTGATTTCTCTGGTTTGTGTCTGATGACAGGTGGGGAAACAAGCGAGTTGCAAATTGCAAGGGGAGAGAATAAAGCAATAATAAAGGATTTTAATCCCAGGAAGGAGTATTCAGTCAAGGTTATAGCTGTGAGTGGAAACCTGCACAGCCGAGCACTTCAGGGAAAATATACTGGTACGAAATATCCTGTTTCTTTGAAGCAATCCCACTGAAACGGACTGCAAGTGAAAATAATGTGTTTGATTTGTAGTCTTCTGTGTGTTTCAAGAAAACAATGAAAAAAAATTAGTGCCTTGAAAATAACATAGTATTTTACATAGTAAAACTGTGTATACGAAATATATAGGGCTTACATGTTTAAGATTATGTTTAAATATTGTTATTCATATACTGATATTAAAAAATATGAGATGATCCTAACTGTATATTTAGTTAATGGTATACAAAGTATGTTATACATATTAATACATCCATGGCTCAATATTTTGGACTTGAATTCCTTTTAATTCCTCATGTCTCTTCAGCAGAAGACCAGAGCAGTGATGGAGACACCACTCAGCCTCAAAGACTGAAAGAACCAGGACCTGTGGAAGAGGGCAATGAGATCTCAGGAGGTAAAGCCAAAGTTTAACCTCCCCAGATTTTTTTTGATCAGACTTTGCTCTTTCATAGCTCAGGAGCCTTAATGGAGTTCTGAGGATTTTTCTTTTAAGTATCAACTGTGTTTCAGATGTTAAAAGTCTTTAGAAGAAATAAACATGATCATTATTTTACACAAATAAACATGTATATTATTTTACACATTAATCAACCATCCGTTTGCATTATAAAACATAACTATTTTATAAATTGGTAATTTTGTTTGAATTCAGATGATTTGATTTGTATGGAAATATATTATTTTCAGTAAAAAAAAAAACTAAGCATTACGGTCCACCCCTAAACCTAACTGTCAGTGGGACGTAAGCAGTTAGCTCAGATCAGTTTCTCACTGGTCTTGAGAGAATTTTTTAGGAAATGCTTGAGCATTTTAAAATCTCAAATGTTTGATGGCAAACTTTGGTATCTTGAGATATTTGAACATACGATGTGAACACCTATTTGTTGTTGAAACTCTTGAGAAAACATACAAGACTTTTTCTCAAGAGAAAACTCATTCAACACATAAAAATCTCCATTCACTCATTTCAGAGACAACTGAAATATTAAAAACACCTCTCGTGGTTTTTCTTCTTCTCTTGTGGGTTTTCCTTTTCATTGTCACTTTTTGCTTTTATCTACATTATAAGCTATATGAATTTCTCCATATGTTCTTCTGAGACTTATTATTGAAACTCTTGAGAAAACATACAAGACTTTTTCTCAAGAGAAAACTCATTCAACACATGAAAATCTCCATTCACTCATTTCAGAGACAACTGAAATATTAAAAACACCTCTCTCGTGGTTTTTCTTCTTCTCTTGTGGGTTTTCCTTTTCATTGTCACTTTTTGCTTTTATCTACATTATAAGCTATATGAATTTCTCCATATGTTCTTCTGAGACTTATTATTGCTGTTTTTCCAGTGAGAGCTGCCCTCCTGTCAAGATATTTCAGCACTGTCAGTGATGTATAAGAACTGAAACTGGCTGAAGTTGCAGGGGGCATCTCTCTGTAGATCCCATCTTTGCTGGTTTTTATGTCCCTGGCATACTTGACAAAATGAGCATGTTCAGGAAGTCAAAGTCAAAGATGATGTTCCTGTCTGAAAGTTTCTGCTGATGTCTCTCAGGGCCAGATCTTAGTATCACAGCCCAGTCCAATATCACAGCAGTTTGTTACAACTCTGAGGGTATTATGTACACAAAGGAATATATACCAAAATGCAATGTTGCAAAGTACAGATGAAACCGAGGAGGTTAAATGCAAGGGTAAGGTTACTGAGCTCATGGTTGACTGTGAAAGAGATGCATCTCCAGCCTTTCTCAGTTGGCTTTTTTGCTCGGCTCAAAAGAGAGATTCGGCTTTGTTTAGCCACAAACATTGATGTTTAGTGGGTGTAAAAACAGCCTAGGCTGCTTGGAGGCTGAAATGTGCTCTTGAGTGAAGCATTTAACTCGGATCCCTCTGTAGGACGGCAGCTTTTGTGCTACGTGGTCTCGCATCTGCTGTTCGCAGTCTTTAATTTAGGACACCTTGTGCACCTGCCAAATGGCAGAGGTTTGAAATTGGTACGGCGTACACAGACCTTAGCTGTCCTGTTTTCCTCTTCAGACTACTGTCAAAGTTGGCAGGACTTGGCACACAGACTCCAAGTGGGTGGCTGAGCTCAGATTCTGTTCAGTTCTGTTAAGAATGACTGCACGCTTTGATTATGACTGAGCACTAATTTGATTCTCTGCTTAAGATCTCATTAGCGCAGAATAACAATGAGATCATATTTCAAAGCAAGAACTTGATGATGGGAATTGCCACAAGAGGGTTATCGCTGGCACAAGGCATATTCAGACAGATAGATGATGTCTTGCTGCCCGTGTGTGTGTGTGTGTGTGTGAACGCTGGTGGAATGGGATGGTGGGCTACCACAAAATCAGACTCTTCTTTGATGTGCCGTCCCTGGGAATGTGTCCAAGCAGACAGAATGGAAGTAAATGGTTATCTGAGGATCCGTGCCATCACTGAGGGATGTGAAATGGCACTTTGAGCTCAACAAAAAGGTCACATTTTTATATCTCTTCCCAATCCTCTTATTCACAAATGAGCGTTTCCAGAAGCAAATTGAAAGGTGGCATAAACACAAAGCTGTTGCTTTTTATCTTCTGACCAAACACTTCTTTACTGGATGTCTGTAATTGTGATTCATGCTCAACATCTGTGGGTATATATGAGGCGAATAAAAAAACATTGCAGCCGGCTGTGTAAATTACAATTTTAAAGTCAAATGAACAAACAAACACTCAAATGGCAAGCGGTAATTCTGATATATGGCTAATGCACATTTCCTGGCTTTTCAGAAAATCAGTTGCTGCTAATTTATATTCATGAGCCATGAATACTTTTTTTTCAGTACGACACAATTTTTTTTAAATTATTTTTTGGAGAGATATTAATACTTTATATTCAGCAATGATGCATTCAATTGATTTTATTAATAAAAAGGATTTAAAAAATAATTTCCATAAAAATAATAAGCACTAAACATTAATAACAAGAAATGTTTCTTGAGCACTAAATTCAGCAAATTAGAATATTGGATCATGTGACACTGAATGTCAGACTTTTGGACCCGTTTTGCCTCCATAGTTCTTCCTGTGTTTCCTTTTATGGTCTGTTTCCTGTTCTTGTTTAGTTTCATTACTTTATGATTCCATGCACCTGTGTTCCCCTGATTGCCCTGTGTTTATAAGCCCCAGTCTGTTCAGTTTTGTTTGGTCGGGTCTACTTGTTGGATGTTGTGTGTTTCCCGTGTTCCTGTTGTGGAATTTACCCCTGTGAGTCAAGTATTAAAGATTGTTTTTCCGCGTCTCCATCGTTCCTCCCATAGCGAATCGTGACACTGAAGTAATGGCTGCTGAAATTGCCATCACATGAATAAATAAAATATATTAAAATAGAAAGCAGTTTAAGTTGTAAGAATATTTCGAAATATTATTGTTTTGACTGCATTTTTGTTTAAATAAATGCAGCCTTGGTAAACATTAGAGACATAAGAATTTACAGTTGGAGAGAGAACAGGAAATGAAGTGGGAGAGAGAGGAAGGTGGGATCAGGAAAGGATCTTGAGCCAGGACTCAAACTCGGGTTTCCCGAAGCGCAACCGTGCCACATGTCAGAGCGTTGCCAACGAGGGCATCGGTTCTAAAAAACATAAGAGACCAATTACCAAAAACGTTAAACATTTTTCTGACCCCAAAATTACAGCATCAAGTTTTTTTTTTTTCAGATTCAGAAGAATTTTTATTCATCCCAGTGAATCAAATCGTTGGAATCCATTCACCAGAAAGATTTGATCACACATTTGTTCAATGACTGTTTCTTCAGGTTCATTGTTACACAAATCAGGCAACAACTGAGAATCTTTTTTTTTTTTTTTTTTTTTTCTTTTTTTCCATTGTAACACTCATTTTACATAC